TAAATTAGTGCACTCGAAAATTCTGTATATCTGTGGTTTATAGCATTAGATTTATAAAGTGTCACATATGCGCAATAAAACCGTTTTCAATTCTATACAATCAGAAAACAATTCAGAAGGAAAAATACCAACTTTATCTACTATTGCTGTAGTGCAGATTAGTGAATGTAAAACAAAGATCCTTTGTTGGAGTTTGAGTGTTTGAAGGAGTTTCTAATGGCAGAAGTTTTGAAGTAGAGGAAACTATTTCCTCTAAAAGATATTGTCCTTCTGATCACTCGTTTGAATGTACTGGTTGAGTCCATACAATGAAACCAAACAAAGGCAGTATGTAGTTTAAAGCTGATGCTTCTCTGTTCTCTAGGCGCAAAATTCAACATAGAAAGTATCGCATTTTACTGATGTGTAAAGCATTATTTTGGAAATCTATTAACGAGTTTCCCCAACATTGATGTAACATAAATCAGTACTTTATATAGGATTGACTAAGGCTTTGAGACATGCTTCAGTTTACTAAACACATATACCAGGTTTCCACTTACTAATAAAGAACAAGACTTGCAAAATAAAATACCTTCACATCAGTAAACAGGAATGAGGAATTCGTGAGAGTTACAAAACTATCTCCACCTTTCTTGATGATTTGGAAACATCAGCTAATTGTGCAAACCTCTGTTTCTGAATCGCGTCATGTATGAGTATGCACCATCAAACGTACAACTTTTTTTCCCCCAGCAAAATGTACCATGCAAGTCACTTCCAAATATTCCTTAAGGCACTGATGTACTAGGAGAGAAGTTCTCCTTCACATATCCCAGTTCTTTTACTATTATCCTAACAACACAAGAACATAGACCGTGCAAGGCAGTGTTGTTATTTTGTTTAATATAAACAGATCAAGGATATCACAGAAAAGCAGTAAAGTATGTGGTTTGGTTTGAGGTTAATAAGTCCAGCCACAACTCCCTTCAACCGCTCCTCCCCCAACTTCCATAAGCTGAAAAACAGTTAAAATCCAGGCCAACCAAGCAAAAAATAATTACAAGTAAGGAATAATTACCATCAAGCAGCTGGTCTACTATGAAACTACTTTATTCAGAACTGCTCTACAAGTCTACAAGTGCAAAGTCACTACCAGATGGCAGTCCATCCAGCCCCCACTACTACAAAACTACAACACATCAACTACAAAAACATCTAAAACACTAAGGAACTAGTTCAAGTGTACTTATTTTCTACAACTTTTAAAATACGACAAACCACCAAAAAACAAGAAATTAACTAGTATATGAAGTAAAGGACAAAAGGAGTACACTGTTACAGTTAAATTAGCTTTTGTTACACGATCATATCAACCCTCTTAAGATCTTAAGTTATTTCAATTTGTGGTGCCTTCTTCATTTTTGCAATTTTCAACACCACAAGAGAAACTTTCAAAGAAAAAATACAAACTTTATTTGCTCTTTTTATCATTTAGAATTAAATACAAAAATAGAGGGTTCTTTAATCCTTCTCTCCTTAAAACAGTTATTGCTGTTCTTAATATTATAAAAGGGTATTGTCACCCAAGCCAAAGGAAAAAGTGATCTTCCAGATTAAAGCTCAAAGGTGAAACAAAAATACTGTATTGAAGATTATTAGTGCTGCAAATAAAGCATGGCAGCATAAGATTTGGCACTAACATTGATTAAATGCAAGGTTCAATAGGAAGAATTAAATAAATACAATGCTTAATAAAGAATGGCCAGAAAGAAGAAACAGAGTTAAGTAGTGCAGGACACTTACAGTTTACACTAAAATGTTCTCATCCAGTATTTCACATTTTTCCTTTTGCTGCGAGTTTCTATAATATCTCTGCGAAAACCCCGCAGGAGGGAAACCACAAATTTTGTAATTGCACTCCAGTGCAACCTGAATTGCTAAGAACACTGTCTCACATTCTTTTCTTCTTTCATGAACCTATTGTCCCTCATTAGAGACCTTCAAGTACAAAAACTTAATGTACAAAATAAACAATAATTTAAGTTAAGTTACTCTCTTGTAGCACTTTCCCAAAACATTTTCCTTCTTATCACTCAGTCTTTTGATATCACTAAATAGAAAAAAATTCTTAAACATTACTTTCTGCATATTCATCAGTGAACAAAATACATTTGGTCCATATTTCTGTAAGAGAATACACACACTCAACACTTAAGTTTTTCTGGGAAAATGTTTTTTAATCCTAATAATATTGTTATTACGACAGTATTTGCATACACTAATACACTGAGTACAAGACTGCAGTAGGTCTTACAAACTTTGCTGACAATCTAGTCATAATGCATAGGATTGTCAGAATTATAAAACCTACTACCAATGAGAGGGTTTTGCAGAGAATACCTCTGTCATATGCAGCACAGCAACTTTTCCTATATGTACAATTAAACTTGAAGATTTGGGAAAGACTACTTCTTATGTATACACTGAGTAATAACCTGCTTGGTATTTTTTTCCATTTTGCTTCATTATAGGCTGTTTTTTTCATTAATTCTAGATTATAAAAGGAGTAACAATCAAAAATGTATAATCATGTGACCTCTTATCTGAGGTAAAGCACACTTTGTGACACTGTGGGTCAGCTTTAAGAAATTCCCACTCTAATTTGAGTTGACACCTCTTTTTACAATGCTGGGCAAAACTAAGAGCACATTTTTTTTTTACAGAAGCAATGGAAAACCTAGGAACTTTTAACAGGTAATATATATCCAAGTTACTTAACCTATGACAAATTTTTTTTTAATTTGTCGAATGGTGAACAAGTTTACTTAAAAGCATAAGTACTAGCATTATCTGTGTTTTTCTTTCTCAGTCACAAATGCAACCAATTCTATGGCAAGTTAATGCAAGAGAAACACCACCACCATTTTTCAATGAATAGTGGAAGAATCGAGTCAACTTTAATCGACAAAATATTGAAATAACATGATGGGATGAGTGTTTCATATGCTCTTAGTTCCACCTTAGGAACACACTTTCTTTGGCTCCTGGCAGAAATTGGTCCGCAAATACATTTATCTCACAAGTGAAAAATCTCGATGCATCAGAATACATTTGAGGTTACCGGACAGTCTGGAAACCACTTTCAATTATGCAGCATTTCCTTTGAACACTGTCCATTTCCTCATACAAAACTAATTTTGATGTGACATGAAAACTATGGAATGTTTTGACAGATGAATACGGATATACAGTTAAGTTTTGCTCTCTGAATTATTAACAGAATAATTTTTAGGCTATTTTGTTCACCTTGTTCAAATAATACTCAGTCCTCTCCACTGAAACCTAACACTACACTAGAAACAACAGTGGAACATACACTGATGGGACACATTACTTATTATCATTGTTAGCTGAGACACAAAAAAGGAAGTACTGAGGCAAGTTTTCACACCTCCTGACTAGATTTGCTTGAGAAACCAATTCCCTCCCCCTCTCCTCTCTTCATGCAACAGATGTATTCTTTTATCATTTCATTTAACAAGTTGAGGATAGAATTGTTGGTCATATATCATGCAGAAAAATAAGAATACAATTTTAAACACTTCTTTAAAATGCTTTAAAATAAATTAATACAATATTTTGAATACCCAAACTATTACAGAATTTTTGAATGGTTTTGGGAATCCTTTATCTTCTCCCTAATATCTCCTCATTCATTCTTGATGTACATCTTATATATAAATACGTACATCTGTGGGAGACTACGAGTGAAATGCATTCTTACCCTAACAGGGAGAGTGGTATCTAATATCAACTAACTGGATTGAAGTCTTTTGAGATCTAAGAACATAATACTTCAAAAAATCTTACATAAATTTTAACAAGACTTGTTATACTGTAACAATGTTTTATCTTCTGCACCTTCCTTTCTTACACATTCCATTATGGCACCCAAAAATATCTGCTTTCTGCCATGCTTGACAAAAGGCAAGATCACTATGCACACACTGCAAAGGAAGCTATATCACTAGGTTATCAATATCTGCATATTTAAGGGCTGAACATCAAGTTTCAATAAATATATATAAAACCAAAAGGCCAAGAAGGCACTCTGCAAGTGTGAGAGGGCCCCACAATTCTGCTTCAAATGTGCCCCTTTTTTTTCATTTTTTGTTATTCATATTTCTGATCAAACACATTGCTGCATCTAAAAAATAGAATCTCTAACAATTGATATAATGAAAAGTCCTACCAACTTGTTATTTTTACTTCTCATTTTTTTCCGTTCACAAAAGATTTTAAGTGCCAAACAGATGTCAATTGAGAATGAAATTTCTTGTTAATATAGAGGATTTTCTTTACAATTAGGGGGCAATTGTTCTTTCAGCTATCATTTAGCATCGTTTCTTCCAGGAGAAACTTACATTGGAAGATGCATGTTCAAGACAATAATAATACTGCTTATTGCAAGTTATTGCTTAAGGCTAGGGAGGCATGTCAGAAAATTCTTTTTCTAATATGAGCAAAAGCAAATTTTCAAATACCTTTTACAATGGCATTATGAAGTAACAAAAAGTAAAACATTCAACAAACAAAATCATAAATACACGATTGAATTTTCTGGTAATGCTCACTCATTATACTGAAAAACAGAAATAATAAATAATAATACTTCAATTTATTTGAGAAGGAACTGACAATAATATAGCTATTTGCTCACAGTGTCCTTTAAACGTGTCTTACATGAACTCGCACTCTGAAAAGATTTTGTTATCAACATCCCCCTGCAGCAACTAGTCCAATTACTCTTAACAGCTACAGCATTGTTTGTGAAATTTTATGTCTATAGAAATAATAATAATAAAAAAAACGATGAATTAAGTATTTTCACACTTTGGCAACTCGTTAATCATTATATATTATGTGCCATCGGTGAAAATGACTGGAAAACCAAACATTGGTGTAGTAGTGGTTCAGAGTCATGTCCGTGAGAGTTTAACCACTTGCTCGTGTGGCATTCAGACGTACATGCCCATGCCGTACATGGATCCCCAGTCCACTCCTTGGAAGCTTGACATGTCGACATTTGTGAGATTGTAGCCCTGGTAGGGGTTGGCGGGCACGGGCGGCGCCAGGGTGGGCGTAGCGCCGGCGGCCGTGGTGGGCGTGGGGTTGCCTCCCACGGCGCCCCCGGCAGCCGCGGCGGCGGCCGCAGCCCCGATCCCGCCGACGGCGGCTCCCACGCCGCCCACCCCTCCCACGCCGCCCACGCCCGCCGCGCCCACTCCACCCACGGCGCCCACCGTCCCCGGGATCGGGTAGGGCGCGTAGCGGTAGCTGGCCAGCGTGGGGTACGCGCCGAACAGCTTCCCGTAGCCCGCCAGCGCCGCCGCGCTCTGCGCCTGCGCGGCCGCCGCCACCGTGGCCGCCTGCACGTGTGCCTGGGCCTGCGCCGCCGCCAGCTGCGTGGCCGGCGTCAGCGGCTGGGGCGCGGCCATGCGCACGCCCAGCGGGCCCAGCACCATGCGCTTGCCCAGGATGGCGCCCGTCTGCACCGCCTCCTTCGGCTGCGCCTTCTTGCACTCCACCTTCTTGTTCTTGATGGTGTGGAAGTGGATCTCGCACACGCGGTCCACCATGTCCTCGCTCTCGAACGTCACGAAGCCGAAGCCGCGGTGGCGCTTCGTCTGCTGGTCCATCAGCATCACCGTCTCCTCCACCTTGCCGAACTGGCTGAAGTACGCCTTCACCTCTTCGGCGGAGGTGTCCTGGCTCACGCCGCCCACAAAGATCTTCTTTGTTCGGCTCCCGACTTTACCTCGGTTCTTCGGGGTAGCGTGCTTGGGATCGATCTTTTTGCCATCGAGAGTGTGAATGGGAACTTTCAGGACCTTTTCCACCGTCTCCGGGTCCGAAAATGTAATAAAGCCAAAGCCTCGACTCCTCTGCAACAAAACAAATACAAAATTATCATTTTATCCCGCGTATGTAATGACTTAAGTTCAACAAGTCTAAGAATGTCAGTTCCAGCAGCGGCATAGCTTCACATCGTGCCAACATTTTACGTTTTGCGATACAAGCTCTAAAGTAACTTCGAGAATCAAACAGAGCATAATGCAATATGGGTAATGTTATACGATAAAAGATAAAACCCGAAGATTCCACGAATTCCCCAGTTGCAGTTGACTGCCTTCTCCCTACCTATGCCACTGCTGTGCCATTCGTGATTCCTCACCTGCGTCACTGGATCTTTCATTATCAAGACGTCAGTGACTGTGCCGAACATCCCAAAGTACTCCTTGAGCTTCTCAGACGACGTCTGCCAGCTCAGGCCTCCCACGAACAGTTTGCCGGGGGCGGGGTCACCTCCGCTAGGAGATGACCGCCCGGAGGTTCCGTTGCCGTTCATTGGCACGAGTCCATTGTGTATTTCATGTGCATGCTCCATAAGCCCATTGCCTTCCATGCCCGCGCTGTTCAAAACAGAAAATTCACACATTAGTCCAGTAACACGATTCTTATTTTCTACAGGTTACTCCCATCTTGGGCCTGATGGGACTTTGGGCCGTTGGCGTTCCTGCTTATTGTGTGTACGCAGCGTTGACCCGGGATGTGGAGTGAGTAAACCTTCCGTTTATTCTCCAAATGTCTGTAATATAAAATTAAGATCATGTCTCGTACGAAAATGGCAGCACAGCACCATTTCTTGGATCCGGGAACTGTGTGAAGCCTTGAGAATAAAGATATAATAAGTAAAATGCCTCTCCAACATTTCCTAGCGCATTCTAAATTTTTGTTCATCTCAAAACGCTCAGCTGAAAACGTGGTCCTTTATAATTGTCTCACTTTAATTACAAAGATCCAGATTATTATATTGAGGAGTCAATTCATATATTTGAAATAAACATGCGTACCTGCACCCCATTCCCCGAAAGTCATTCATTGTTGGCCATGTTTTGGAACCGCGAGAAAGAGGTGGCTAGTTTGACCAAGGCACCTGGTCGCATTCGTTTTAATTGTACCGCGCGGCGCCTAAGAGCCCACGTAATTTGCCTTTCAGGTACAGGAGCGCCGGCAAGAAGCAGCACGAGATGGTCGACCTGCGGAATCCGAAGCCCTTGAAGGTAAGAGTAGAGAGCGGAGTATAGCAGAGCGAGTAGAGTAGAGTAGAGTAGAACCGCGCGGAGGCGAAGAGTCGCGTTGCCAGTCGCCTTCGGCCCAGGCGCCCGCCCGAGTGAGAGGGGCGAAGCGCCCACCCCTCGCGGGCGCTCCGCGGACCGCCGGCCCCCGCCCGGCCCCGCGCCCCACTCCGCGCGACCGACCGCGCGCGCGCGCGCACCCCCTCCCGCGCTCCGTCCTCTCCCGCGGTGCCCCTCCCTCTCGTTCTCCACGAGATCCCGGAGATCAATAAACCCAACCAACGCAGTCTGGGGGTTCGGTTCGCCGTCTCCACCGCCCGCGCCCCGCGCGCGCGCGCTGCCGCCAGTCGATGGCTCGCCCGTCGCGCTCGTCCTCGTCCTCGTCCTCCGCCGCGTGCGGTAAAGGCCGCGGGACGTTCCGCTGGCCGCTGCGGACGCCAAGGGCCTGGGCGGACGGGGGCTGCGCCTTCCTCCTACTCCTCCATCCGCCCGCGTCGCCTCCACGGGAATTTTGCTGCACCGTTGCCAAACACGGGAGCACGGGATAAGGGGGCCCTCCGGGTCGGGACGAGCGGCGGTGGCGGTGGCGGCGGCGGTCGCGGCGCGGCGCGCACGGCGGTGGCGGCTGGTGTGGGAGGCTTCGCCCCTTCCCGCCCGAGTGGGTCGCCACCCCACCACACCAACAACATCGGGCAGTCAGAACGTCGGGCCGGAGCGAGACGCGGCGAGCGCCCACCACCGGAGCCGGCTGTGATATTGTCCTGTCACAGCAGTACTGAACACTGAAGCTTACTGCTGTTTCGGGACATAGCCACAGCTCAGCATCCAGAAGCAACGGCGAGGCGAGGTGAGCACAGCGGCTGCTGGGGATCCTGCACCGGCGGCAGCGGCGGCGGCGGCCACGGCCTCGGCGGCGGCGGCGGCTGCGGTAGTGCGGAGTAAGGTTACCGTGCCCCCCACGGAAGCCTAGCGGCTAGAACGCGACGCAGTTCAGCGACCTCTAGTGCTCCAACGACGCTAGTGCAAGTCCACCAAGCTCTACCGCTAGTGAGTGAAAAAACCGTCGCCACCCGTGAGCCCTCTGCTGGACAGGGGGCAACGGCGCCAGTGGAATAGATTCCGTGTGCTCTGTTCAGAAACGCTGATCGTCCCGCCGCATATTTCGACGCCGCTTGGCGACCAACCGCTCCGAAGCCCGCAACCCACCGTGTTGCTTCCAACGCCAGACCTGGTGGCTGCACAAACGTCACTTCCATGGTCGCTAGGAGACGCCGCCATGATGGTTACAAACATTTCGTGTGGTCGTAATCCAGGCGCATGGACGTAGTCTGCCGAATGCACTCTCAGTGACTTTCTTTACTGGCTGCAACACTTTTGCATTTGCAAATGGCACCCACGCAGTAGAACTGGTCGAAGATTTTCACTCACGAAGCTAGTGCGCACGCACGCATCCGCACGCACACACTGATTTGGAATTTGCATGATTTGTTTCTGTAATAAACCTTTTGTAATAAATTAGATTAGAGTTGTTACAACACGCTTTCGAATATTTGTCCTTCTCACCTTACACACCATAACCATCTGCACATAGTTCATAAGATAATTTTATCACGGAATTCAAGAGCATGAGTATTCCTCAGGTGCATGATTAGAGGTGAAGCTTTTATTCGCCCAAAAGAGAAGCATGCATGAGTCGACTACACAGAGCCAGAGGGCTCTCGGGGTCATTGCACTCCATGTCCAGAGAATATTGATTATTCGCCCTGTCGAGAGAGGCGCTGCTCTTTCGTTGCAACGCGGTTCAATACGCGGCGGCCCAGCGGCCCGACCCGACCCGACCCGGCTCAGCTCGGCTCGTCCGCGCCGCCGCCTGCGCGCAGACCGCCTGGCGCTGTCGCCGACAGGGCGACCGGCAGGCAGGGCAGACAGGGAGGCGCAGGGAAAATCAATGGAAAGCCTCGCTGCTCCGCCCAGCAGCCCCGGATGCCCCACGCCCACGCATTTCGCTACGCGGCCCGCCCGCCCGCCGCACGCACTGCAGCCGCCGATTCAATTACCCCTCGCGACGGCCGCCGGCGCCGCCTTCGATCGCTTCGCAGGCCGCTTTTCGGCCGCCCCCTCCCCCCACCCCCCCGGCCCCCGACTTCCTCGGGGGGACCAGCGCCGAACCCACTCTCGCCGACTCCAAACGGGGGCCTTTCAATACAGAACTCCAAAGGGTTGCCTGGACCCGTCCTTCCCTGCGTTACGTCAACGAAATCTCTATACTTGCCATAGCCCAAAGCTGAAACAGTCGACACGAAGAGCGGCACGTAGTCTTGACACCATAATGTCTATCGATTGGACATCACTTATTGGAATGTTTTTTGGAATATTTACTATTTACTATATTAATTAGATACAGATTTAAAATCAAGGAAATGTTAACTAGCGTGTTAGCAGTTGTTAAGTTCCTTCCCGGAATCGCGCAACACACACTGAATTAAACAGTAAAATATTTATTGCGAACTAGTAATCCAGTAGTCTAGAGTAAAACCCTAGTAATAGTACAAGCCTCAAGCCTTAGTTTCAATTTATACTATAAAAACCTTTTTCATTTCTGTAAGCACCTTAATCAACAGCACTATGGTTTCTGTGAGAAAATTAACTCACTAAATTAATTATGAGCACGTTTATATTCGTATGGCACTCCTAGTCCTTTGTGGATAGTTATTCAATCAATTTAAAGTATTTGAAGGCCATAACACTTCCCAGAATGCCCGACCGAAGCCTGCGAATGGAAGAGGGTGGGGTGAGGTTGTTTTGGTTAACGCAAGCTCCCACGTTGAAGTTCCTCTATCCGCCGCAAATCCGACAAAGCGCTCTTCCCCGAAGCGCTCGCGCGCTGCCTTGTGGCCGGGACGGGAACTACCAGCGGGACAGAACCGCCCAAAGCTTCTGGGAAATGGGTGGTAGTTGTGTATACGGCCTGACCTGGAACCACGTGAGCATTCCTTGTGGTGCGGTTAATTGTTCCCTTTATTCTCCCTCATTTCTTCTACTAGAAGAGCCAACTTACTTTAAACTAAGTAATATTACTAAATATCTGTACTACGCCGCGCGTTTGTGACCAGCAGCCTTGATTAACACCTTTTGCTACATATTGAGTTGTGATAAAAGCGTTGCATACTTCCAGCAGATTCCGATAGACAAAAAAAAAAACTATTAAGAATGTAGAAGCAATGCGTTTAAGGATAATATTATGAAATATATTATATCTGGTATTATAATTAACCGAATAGAAATCTTGGTAGCAGTAGCGTGGTGGCAAGTTACTACCACCAATACCCTAAATCAAATGAAATGTGCTAGAAAGTAAAATTTAAACGTTCTGAAAAGAACATAGCTTTTAACGGCCTTCTTAAATAAATCTTACTTCTGAATATATTGCAGAAAATCAATAAAGCTGATAAGTATTCAATTTCACGTTCTGATGGTAAAAGAGATTCCTGTGGTCAAATTTTAACAAGATCTGTACTACCGTTACATGCGGTCCGAACGACCAACGTCAATGGAGAAATACTGAGGAATAAGTGTCTGCCTACACCTGTGTTCTCTGTGGGTTTTTTTTCACTTAACGTTTTTAGAAGCACCTTCATTCTGTTACAGTAATTCACAGCTTGTGTAAAAATTAGTTCTGATCTGATAACAGTTTTCACTTCCTTAAGTTACGCAGGACTTCTGTAATAAAATATTAAATGAATATGTGGTCACTTTACATTTGACACACATTTGAGTCCCAATCTAAACAACTTTTTACAGAACATTTCGAAAATGTGAGTAAAATACCTGGAAATTAATTAACAATAAGAAAATCAATACTCTGCCAGAAGAAAAAAATGAAACAATGCAATTACAAAATATTGCTTACAATTTGCTTCTTAAACTTAGCCGTTGATTTCAAGGAAACAAAGAAAATTAAATTTCTTCTTGATAGTCGATTTAGGTTTACTTATAGGTAAAACAATTGTAAATATTATTTTCGTGACAATATCGTTGTGAGTTTTTTTGCTAAATATTTCAGTAACGAAGCGATTATTATATTTCTTTAACCTTTCATCACAGAAGGTAAGTTACTTTTTTAGAAATCCTTGTTCAGGTTTTTCAATTGCAATCTAAAGTCTTGGCGAGCACACTACTCCACGTCCCTTTATTCAATATGAACTTTGGAGTCTTGCGGATTTTCAGCAGTTTTGAATATTAATTTCAGAAAGGTTTCTAATTTCAAATGAATGTATAACAATGCAAAGCCGATAAAAATAAAATAATTTCGGGCAACTCACAAAAATGAATTAACCATAACAGACTTCACTCAACCGTCCTGCAAATCGATTTTTTATTGTACATTATATATAGAGAGAAATGGTAAGGTCACAAGGCTGTACGTCGAGCCGTGTAAATTCCATTTGATTATGTATCCGACAATCTTCAACGTAATTGGAAAACCAATAGGACAGAATCCAGGTCACTCACGACGGGGCGTGGAACTTCGAAAGGAAGGCAAATCTACTAATGCAGCGACATAGAAATCAGGAGACAGGAAAGTGGTAATATAGAAAAGCTTTATATTTCGAATTTTGTAGATTTGTTCGCCCACATAATTATGATATTCTGAAGTGTCCAACATTCACTAAGCAAAGGACAAAGAAAATAGTACGTATCGTACGAGGGAAAAGACAGTTTAGCCAACGCCCGTCACATGCGTCTCGCCGGCCGGCCGCGCCACGCGGGTCAGCCGGCCCCTCAGCCGCTCTAATTGCTGTCCAAAATCCCGCCATGCGTCTCCATTAAAACAACATACACCGCCGCGCACGAGACACAAAGCAGCGCTGTTCCCTGCCCCGGCTCCGCCAACTCCTCCGGTGCGGGGCAACGCGCGCAGCTGCTCTCCCGCCCACCAGCCCTTCTTCAACCCCCCCCCTCCCCATGCGATTCCACCGCTTCGAAGCAGGCGCCTCCGTTCGGCTAGTCGACATCGACGCCCGCACGTTGGTAGGTCGACTGCGTAGAAAC